AAATGCCCAGTGATGTTGAACATTTTTATTTTTTATATGCTATTTCTACTTCTATTTTCTGAGAAGTGTCTATTTATCCCAGATACACGTTTTTGGATTGGGTCTTTGAATTTTTAAAACTTGCTCTTTTTTAATGCATTATATGCACTAGGATAGTAGTCTTTTGCCTATAGAACAGCTGGCATAAATTTTTACCACTCTGTGGGTGATCTTTTCACTCGGGAATTTATTTTGCTGTACAAAATCCCTTTAATGAGATGAGAGACCCCAGTTGTTGATTTTTTGTGATAATTCCTGAGCAATCAGGGTTTTGTTCATAAAGTCTTTACCTATACCTATGTCTTCCAGAATTCCATTTTATCTTCTAGCAGATTTAGTGTTTTTGTTTTAATATTTGGATTTTTGATCCATTTGATTTTGGTTTAATGCATGGTAATGGACATGGGTCTAGTTTTAGTCATCAGCAAATGGAAAGCCAGTTTTCCAATACCATTTATTAAAGAGGCTAGCCTTTCAGTGAATATTTTTGAACCATTGAAGGTCAGATGGTTAAAACAATGCTAAGATTACATCTCACTCTAGAAAGAATAACTATTATCTAGAAAATTCTGGCAAGGATGTGGGTAACAAGGAGTACTTTTCCACTGTTTGTAGAAATGTAGGCTTTTGTAGTCACTGCAGAAATCAGTGTGAAGATTCCTCAAGAAAGTAAAACGAGAGATCCATTTGACCTAGCTATTCACCTTCTTTGTGCTTTTTTTTGTTTGTTTGTTTTGTTTGTTTGTTTGTTTGTTTGCTTGTTTTGGCGGCACCAGAGATTGAACTTAGTACCTTGCACTTGCCAGGCAGGCACTTACGCCACTGAGCTACATCCCCGGCCTCTTTGTGCTTTCCTGGACAAATTAAAAGTATTCTACCACAGCAACATATGCACATTCGTATTTATAGGGCAGTTTGTAATAGTTAAATCTTGGAAACAGCCCAAATGTTCATCACTCAATGAATGGAGAAAGTTGTGTTTTTGTAATACGGCAGAGAACTACTAGGCCATAAAGTAGGATAGACTTGAGACATCGTCATCTAAATGGGTGCATCTTAGACAATCCTCTTAAGTGATAAATCAGACACATGTTCAAATATTGCATGGTTTCTTTGGTGTGAGAAACAAAGTGTTTATAAAAGGTATATAGTAGTATAAAGTATTATAAAAGGTATATAAAGTATTATAAAAGGTATAATAGATATATGAAATTGGAAGACAATTTTCAAATGGAAAGAAGAACAAGGAATGTCAGAGGGGAAAAGGAAAGAAAGGACATGGAAAGAATAGAAGGAAAAATGAAAACAAAGCTTTTGTAAATAAGAAGCGAAGAGCAGCTGAGGGGAGGAAAAGAGAATGGAAAAAGGATAAAACAAGATATATCATGTACAGGTACATATTCCCTAAGCAGAATATTATCATTAATATTTAGATGTTTGATCCATTTGATTTTGGCTTAGTGCATGGTAATAGCACGGGTCTAGTTTTAGTCATCAGCATGGGGAATGCCAGTCATCCAATACTATTTATTGATTGATGCATGGACATTGTACCAGTAAAATGAAACAATTAAAAATAGATAAAACATATGCATGGCATTCTACAAAAAAGAAAACAGGGTTAATAACCTGTGAATCAATGCTAAGTCTCAGTAGTTTTTAAAGATACAAATTAAGACCAAAATTGAACGTTATTTTGTACTCATTTATATTTCAAAAAATAAGAAATATGACTGTATGAAGTGTAGCAGAAAATACCTAGACGTTCACTTATGAATTGATGGTTAATATTTAATTAGTACAGTGTCCTTTGAAAAACAACTTAACATCATTTTGTAAAGATGAACACGGGCATGCTCCATGTTCTACGTATTTTGATTCTAAGTATTACCAAGAGAGGTTCCTGGGTACACCAAGAAACATTAATGGGAATGTAAATAATAGAAAAGCTCTGAAAACAATTTAAAAATTCTGAGCTGGCGAGATAGGTTAGCTGACTAAGTGCCTACGTAGGTAAGCACAAGGACCATAATTCAATCCCTGGCACCACACACCACAGAGGTCCCCTTTAATGAGACCCTGTACCAAATACATAAAAAATACATTAAAAAATCAGGGAGAGAAAAAATATAAATCTGGGCATATTAATATAATGGTAAATTTACAGAAGACTCAGAATACCCAAATGTTTTTCATATTAAGTAATACATATAATTTAACATCATAAGCTGAGTTAAAATGCTATAAACCTTAAAATAGCTTTTTATATGATACAATTAGTATACTACTTAAAGGGATGTATATAGATATTTTCAACTCATATTACAGAGAAGTCAGTTTTTTAACCAGAGTTCCTTAAAATAGAGATATTAACCTGCCTTATTCTAGTGAAATCAATGCAATCACAAGGTTTTTTAAATTGTGGAAGGCTCAGTGTTGATGAGCTATGACCTGAGGAAGACTTGACCAGCATCATTAGATTTAAATATACAGGAGACTATAAACCAAGAAACTGGAGCAATTTCTGGAGGGTGGAGGAGGCAAGGAAAGTTTTCCTAAGAACTTTCAAAATGGAGCCTGGCCATGCCTCCACCCTGAGTTTAGATTATTCATACCTTTCTTCTGAGATGTAAAATAATTTATTTTGTTGTAATCCATTAAGCACTCCTATGTACACACACAAACACACACATAAAACTATAAATGTGTGTTTGGGTGTCAATATCACACAGTGAGAGATGCTTTAAAAAAATCAACCTGGGGCTAAAGAGTAATAGGTAGGGCTACTGTACATGGCACACGGTCAGAGCTGAGCTCTAATGTTTATAGAGGTCTGAATGAGACCAAGGTATGTGATTTAAGCAGAAGATTTCAGAAAACAAATGCAAAGTGCAAAGTGAATGTGGTGATGTGCTTGAACTTGACATGCATGAGGAACACACACAAAAGGCCAATGGGGGTCAGGAGAAGGCCAGAGGTCAGCAGGAAAGTGATGGGATGTATTAGTGGTGGTTATCAATAGGGTTGTTTATGCTAGAAGAAGAGAAGGAACATCAGCAGAAAGGCAGAATATTTGCTTTTTTCCTATCATGTATGTTTTGGAGTGACAACACATTACCTTTCTGTTGTTGAAGCATTTTTATTACAACTAGAAGTGTAAGCAATCTGAAAAGTAGAGATGGTAGTGTTAAAAATGAAGTATCCATTGGAAGGCTCCATGGAGCGAAGCTGCTTCAATATGAAAACTGAGAGAAAGGGGCCAGAAAGGATCAATGTCCCTCTCTTTTTCAAATATGTTCCCTCTCTTTTTCCACTTTTATGCTTTTCTGACTATGGAGTCTGTACACAATAGTCAGTCACTCTTGGATTAAATATGTTGATTTAAATGTGTACATGTAAATGAATTGTACGAATCTCATAGATGCTACCTACTGAATGATTTCTTCTGAAATAGAATTTTTAAAGGTATGGAACAAGGAAGATCACTAAATAGTCTTTATAAATCCTTTCCTAACATCACATGATAAAGATGCTACAGATATAAAAACCCATCATTACTTTAACAACATGCATAGGGCTTAAAGGAGTCAGACTGCCGCCATGTAGACCTTGTTTCACTGTTTCTCAACTTTGAGATCAATGGGAAATCATTTATTTTGTACATACCCAGAGTTTTTTCATCTGTTAAACTAAAATAATCATATCTGAGTGACATAATTATAAGGATTAAAACAACTAACTGAATATAGTATTAGAGCAATATGGAGCATAATATTAAGTACTCAGTAAGTTCCAGCTACAATTCTTGTTTCTCTTTTCTTCTTTTTTGAGTGCTAGGCAATGCCTTGATTCCCAATTCCCAACCTCTTACTCCAAAGGAGTTAAGAGGTATTTAAGAGACTCACATTTCCCAGCTACTTTGTTGATTCTTTCTACACACTTTAAAGTGAAATCACTGTGATGCTCAGCGTATTGTGCTAGAAAGTAGGAGAGAATTCAATTTCACTAACCAACACCTTTTCCTATGACTATCGTTCAATATAAAATTATTCAAACATTTCTTCTGAACCTCTGAAAGCAGGTTTCATGTCCCCTGGGCAAATTTAAAAGGAACCTTAATCATTACACAATTGCAGTTGTGACCACTGAGGTCTTCATTCTGCTGAGTAAAACTCTAACTTCGATTAACTGAAAAAAACTAAAATATCTATAAAAGGTGACTCTGACTGATTTGAGATGTTCTTTATATATAAGGTTTACAGGGTTCATCCTGGTTTAAGCAATTTCAGATTTCAAAGTAGACCACTTCAGGCAAGTGTCTCCGCTTCCCAGATTCCTGTTTTCTTCATTCTGCTCCAGGCTTGTCCCATACCTTTCATTATTTAGGAAAGTATCATTATCATACAATGGCTACACTTTTGTGACAAAATGAAGAGACATAATTAGTTTTTCCAATTTGAAAATGAAAAAAAATTAAACAGATTGTTTAAGACAAAAAATACGTCTTGGTCAGATCTTTTGATCATTGCATTTTTTAAATTACTGGTACAAACTTATTATATTACTTAAGTTTTAGAGCAAAATAAAAAATTACTATTAAAGAAACAATATTGTAAAAGGTCAAGATTGTAAAGTGATTCACAGGACAATCTACTAAGTTTATAACTTACTTCTAGAATGTTTTTCTATTATACATTGTATAACATCTCCTTTTAGCTTAATCATACTCTCACGTTTCAATATTAATGAACTGGTATTACAAATATCACCCAAGAAAGACTTTAATCATATTCAAAGGCATTTAAATAAATGTATAGATCATTTTGTTAGTAGTTGAATGTATGTTTAAATTGAAAAGTTTTAATTTGAAAAGTACTGTTCATTTTAAAAATTGGCCTCCTTTTCTATAAATAAAAATTCCTTACTCTCTATTTAGTTTGGCTCTATGACACGCATCCCACCTTGAATCCATTGCAGCATTTAGTATTCTTTTTCTCTGAATATTCAGTCTCTGATGTTTTATTTGTAGAATCAAGTTGATCCATTTTTAAACTATTTGTCTATTTTCAACTGTTGTTGATTGTTGATTGGAAATGACCACCTATCTAGGGTAGAAATGGAGACTTAACTTAACTTTAACAATATGTAATTTAGAAATAATAAAACCCCTATGTCAACATAAAGCCATCAGTCAATCACAAATAACTCCTCAGGCTCTGCTGTGTTTCTGATAGCGGACTAAGAAAACAATGAACAAAACACAAGAAAGAAAACTACACAAGTCCTAGCTTTAGGGAGATTACAATTTAGTCAGGCAGATTAAAATTGTGGAGAGAAATTAGAAAAAATAAGTAGATAATATAGAACCAAGTTACATTAAAAAATTAAATTTCAGAAACTGAACTTATTTACATTGTGTTGCCTCATTTTCAAGTATAATATAATCAGTATGTGTTGCCTACATACCACACTTTCTACTTTGCCATGGCATTTTAAGTATGCTTTTGAGGACTTTAATGTATTTTTCTCTGAACGTGTTTTTTCTGAGTTCAAAATGACACATAGAAGTATGTATTTGGAACATAATATTTCGGACAAGGCCCAAAGTCTTGGAATGTAGCCTGGTAATTTTTCTCTGAAGAGAAGAGCTCGAGCTTTTCCTAGGGTATGGGGTAAGGGCTCAGAATCTCAGCATCCTCTACTTTCTGTGTCAAGCTTTCACTGTTTCAGAGGACGCAGGAAAGTAGGGCTCCCAAGCGGCCAGCTGCTAGCATGTGTCTATGGAGTTGTGCTGACCTGATCTTTTCTCATTTAATTGGAAAAAACATTATCGAAAAGTATTTTCTTTCCTCTTACATGGAGTCAAACTTTGCTTAAAAAAAAAAAAAAAGGAAAGCAGAGAGACTGTGAAACACATCATAACTTTTATTTACCTACTGACTTCCACCCTCCTCTATTCTGTCAGAATGAAATAAGGAGTCTAATAGTTCTGTGAATGCAGCTTGCTTAAAGCACTGCCTAGGAGCCAGGGAGATGGCTCAGTGGAATAAATGCTTCCCTGGCAAGCACAAGGGCCTGAGTTCAA